ACCTAAGAAATTTAGTTAGAGGCTTACACAAGGGAACTGTATAATTTTTTTGCAATGACCTAATGCATACAAGCTCTTTGGTGGAAGCTGAACTAAATGCTGTTAAATAAATTAGGAAGTTATTAAGTGTTAAGCTGTAGGAGGAAGAGTTATGATTTTTTTTCAGATACATTTGCATCTATCATTCTTTCTGCCCTTGGGTGGTCTCTAGACCTATGCTGTATTCAATTTCTTACTTTCCATTTCTCGAAGAAAAAGTTAAAATATATGTTATTAAAAGCTTCTATTAAATGGGATGTGCTACTTCATCCCATAACCAGGGAGCTATTTAAGTGGTGAATATTCCTAGTGAGCTCATAGCTTTAATTTTAATGATTTGGGAACTGCTGTTATGTATTTAGTTAAGCATGTTACCATAATATTTGGAATGTATGTAGTATTGATTTCCTTTCTACCTAAAATGCATCAATTTGAAACAATGGACAGCAATAAAAGAGCAATTTTTCTCCTTATCTGAAAAATAAAGCTGTTAAAATGTAATTTTGTTGATCATCATGTTGGTACACAGAAGGTTTTTTTTAATAAGTGAAACATGTCTTGAACTGTTTTGCTGCTAGTCTGCTGGCATTTTGTGTTGTTTGCAAACTTTATTAGCCATTACTTAGTTTCTTCAGAATAACAGAATGAAAATTACTGGTTCTGTTCTTAAGGTATGATTTTTATCACAAGATTTCCTGTATTTGTTGTCATGCCTGTACCTGTCTATAATTTAACATCTTAATAATAGAGAAAATTACTGATTTTTCAGTAAATACTGGGAATTGTGCCATATCTTAGTAGCAGAGTGCAGAAAAGTGATGCAACTTTCTTGAAGTCACATGAGACATCAGTGGCAGGGGTGAGATTACATCTGGATCCTGCATTTTGAAAGGACATGGAAGTATATGTGTTATAAATACAGAAAATTTAAAAGCATATGAATATACATGTATATTAATACAAAAATATATTTGAAACCTCTTTTTTTTTTCTTTGGTGTTAGAACAGACATTACTTTTTAGCACTGCAGCTACAGGAAGGATGCAATCTGCATCCCTCTAATTGCTTTCTGGAAAAGTGAACTAGTCTAGTTCCTGGTTTATGAACACGTGCAGTTTTCTGGCAAGCAGACACGGTGTATTTTTGTCACCAGAGAAGTCTGTGGACTGCAGCAGTCCTTTGCTATGAGAAAGTGCTGTCCTTCCCGAATTCACACGCGGCTGCAGCAGCCTTAGCGGGGCACGGCTGTGGTTCTGTAAATACGGATTTAGCAGTTACAGGGGTCTCTGTTGGTGACAGGTTTTATTGCTTGTGGCTCCTGCCACAGCCGAGTGTTCATCCCCCCAAAGCCACCGGCAGATTTCCCGTGTTAACCCTCCTCCCGTGTCCCAATGCCATTGTCTGAGCTGCGGCATTGTGCTGGTGCCATCTGTGACTCGTGTGGCCCCACTGGTGCTCGCCTTTGGGATCGCAGCTTTGCTCCCTAAGCCCTCTATTCTTTCTCAGAGCGTTCCCAGAGTTTGTCCCGTGTTCTGTGAGCCCGTCCCCGCTGCAGCAGCCGGACGGAACGGGGGAACAGCAGCTGTGCAAACAAACACGGCAGCGTTGATGCTCCTCCATGGCTTTGTGCAGCCGTTTGTGGCATTGGGATGCAGCAGAACATGTGCAGCCTGTCTGCTTCCTTTGTCCCACATCGGCTGCTCTGATGAGGCCGATTGTCACGCCACCCTGTGCCTTCTCCTCCTTCTCTTTTTTCCCTTTTGCTCTTCTCATCTCTTTGTGGGCTGCCTAGCTGCTCCCAAACACATCTGCCACGCGTCCCATCTGCTCTCCCCGAGAGGCGCGCTCGCTTCTGAYAAGCGCTATTCAAGCGGTGCACTGTTCTGTGGAGCTGACAGAAAACACTAATTTGTATTATTAATGGCGTATCGCTAATGCTCCCTGCTTCTAAAACACTGAGCAAAGTAAATAGTGTGGAGTGTCGACCCGTCAGCTTGCTGGTGAGTTTTTTGAAAATCCTACATGCACAGGTGAATTTTTCCCATTCTGCTTACCTTAGGTAACACTCTGTCTTAGAGCTTATAACCTTTTCAAAACACTGTTTTTCTTTAAAAAATTCATTTCAGAGGTTGTGTTCCTACCTGGCAGCAGTGGCAACATTCTTTTCATTAAGGGGCAAGGCAAGAGAATATGATGAAATTATTTACTATTCCTCTGTCTTCCAAGGAAAAAAATATTATCAGGACATAAAAAAAAAAAAAAAAAGCATGTTCTAAAGTCAGAAAGAATTTAAAGCCTTGCCTGTTCTGCATGTCTGTTGCACAGCTTAGGGTTATGCATTTAACTTTTCAGAACATCTTTTCTGTGACATTTATTCACTTCTAGCAGGATCTTGCCATGTGACAGCTCCACTGTGAAGTTGAACAAAACTGAAGGGATTCTCTGTGGGTGAAGGAAGAAGATGATTCACAGCACAGGCATGGATAGACAGTAGAGTTGTTTTTGTGGAATCACCTCTAGTTTTGASTCAAAGATTTGTGGAGATAGTTGATGAAAAGTGCAGTTCCTAATTAGTGTTACTATTCAGCTCTGCCTGGTCATATTGACTGTCAGCTCTATCAGCTGCACATTTTCCATGCTCGTGCTGAAGGTATCACAGCTGCCCTGTGTGCTGCTGCAGGGATTTGCACCACAGAGCTGGGATGAACAAGGAGTTCCTTCTCTGTTGCTGTGTTTGTCTGCAGTGTGGAATTCACTGAAAGCCAGGGTTAGGTGTCCAAAGTGTGACCAAGGTGGGCTGGATTTTACTGAGCTGGCTGAAAGGAACTGTGCATGCATGCAAGGAGAGAAGTGATTCATTTTGACAGTGTTTGCTTCATAGTTTTGTCTTTTCCTTTAATGACTSCCTGCTTACTCAAAATGTCACMGACTGAAAAGTGAAGGTTGGARGTGGAAGTCAAAGAAAWGASTGAGGCTGGGGAGGCTTCTAGCAAYGAAAAMAAAAGATAGAAYAATTTTTGGTCAGCTAGCAGAGCTGGGTCGGTACATTTTGGTTCTGTGCTTCCTARAAACTGCTTTGTGTGGTACTCATGTTAACGCCATGTGAAAGCTGTTATTCCATGGTGGCTGCACTGTTTTGCAGTGTCGTGTTCAAGCACCTGACCTCTGTTGAAGAGGTTGAGGATGAACTTGTTTACTTGTTTACTCTTTTACAAGAGTGTTTTTTCTTTTCTCTTTTTTCTTCACCTGAGAACATTGTTTGGCAGCATATTTTATCAGCATACCCCAAAAAAGCATCATAAAGCTGGTAATGCCTACAGTGATTTTCGGGAGGAAAAAATGGATTGGGACTTCTTAAAAAATACTAGCTGCTATGCTGCAAAACATTATGCATAGAACCTGTAAAAAAAAAAAAGGATATGACCAAACACTAATTTTGTTAGGTGTGATTAGTAGTACAGGTATTGACCATTAATTTTCATAATTATGATTTTTGGATCAGCACCTTCGAAATTTATCAAGTTGCTATGTCAACACTTGAAAAGTTGTGTCAAGGAGTTTAGCAAACAGGCCAGGGAGAAGAGATTAAATACAATCTCTTTGTATTTTTATCACCTCTGGGAAGTGGTGTTAGCCAGTGGGAAACAGATAGGTGACCTTGTCCTGCAAGACCTTCCATGGCTTACTGAGTTCAAGGCATCCTCCGAAGGGTTATTGATGGAGCTGCAGTTGAGCTGTGTGCTGTGCCATTTGTCCAGCACTCTGGATTCTTGTTTTTATTTAAACTGCTCCCTGGTGGTTTAACTGGAAGTGATTCGTGCCCCCCAGCCTTGTTCATTTGTGTTGCCAGTGGGTTCCAGCAGCACTGCCTGGACACTCCMGAATGAAAACAGGGTGATCAGAAGTGATCAATAACTTAAGGATGAGCCCTTTGTGAGTACCCCTGAAAACTATTCTGCAGCAAACTTCTGTGATTTCCTTTAATCATTCAGCTCTGAATGCTGTTAATCCACTCTTGATGTTTCGGAAAAATATTCAAGAAGTAATCAACCTTTTCTCTGCCAAACTTGTCTGTGGTTGGAAAAGCTTATGTACAGTTCTTCTCTSTAACCCAAGAATACTTTTGTGAGAGAGGGGAGTGTTTTGTTTGTTGAAATATGTGGTGAATTCTCAGCTTTTTCTTTTTTATGTTTCAACCTGGCCGTTACTACTTCAACTCTACAAACTGGAGGTGTGAAAACTTTATGAAGAGAGCAGTCCTTAATGGGCTGTGAATAAAGATGGCAATTGTGTCGTGAAGCAATTTGTCACTGACAGCTGSTAACGTGGCAGACTTCAGATGAATGGTGGACAATGTAAACATAACATGTTAGCAAATTCTTGTCATTGATACCAGGTCCACATTTGCCTTATRAAAAAGGGAACCCCTCTTCACCTCTTGTGTCACTCATTTCTGGTACGAGAGGAGGGATCTGCTCCTTGAAACGGAGTAGATCTTCTAGTGACATTAATAGTAAGAAATAATAAAATTTGAGGAAATTAAGTGATACTAAAGGAAGCAGAACAATTAAAATGGTATATGATTTTTCTCTGCTTTGTTCCTCGTTACCCTTTTCAGTGTATTTGCTGCCATATACTGTAGCCTTGCACTTCTTCACTTCTACAGGGCTCACTAGAGTGCTGCTGTAGAGGGACGAGTCAGTGCAGTGAGAGGAGCTTGTGCTGTCCTGCTCGTTTCCAAGGAGTGGAGTTTCACAAAAAATCTTACTATTTGTGCTGACTTGCTTGTGGAGGGTTTTTGTTTTTTTTTTTTTTTTTTTCTTTCTGGGAGGCTTTTGCCCTTGAATTCTGGGCAGTTGTCTCCAGAAACACTCTGTGTGAGGTTTGCTCACAGCGATGTTACTGCTTGTGCTGATCTGTTGTGTTTACGTTTTTGTTTTTCTCTCTTCCTCTTGATTTAGATGAGAGATCCTTGGAACAGCAGAGCTTTCCCTTTTTCWCAACGGACTTAAAGGTGCATGAAAGCATATCAGGCAGCAGGACACAAACGGCCTTAGCAAAAAGTACTTTGGAGTCTCAAGAAAGTAATTTGCTTCAAACAGTTTTATCATCAGTTACCACTTCCTTTGATGGGACTTTACCGAGCCAAGAAGAAACAGGCAGGATTTCAGAAGGGAGAAGTACGCCGTTGGTGGATGTCTCTGTAACGAGCAATGAGGCATTCCTAAGTGATGATGAATTTATTAGCTCCTTTTCAAAGGCACAGTGGACTCCTCCAGTGAAGTCTTTTGCAGTTTTAACAGATCATCACTCAGTTAACACAGTAGAGCCATCAAGAGAAACGTTAGAAACTGTGTTGCTAACACCTTCATTATCTGTCCTTTCTTCACCGTATGATATCTCAGAAACAGCACAGCAGAAGACTCCGCTGAGCGCTGTCCCTGAAGGCAGCTACACTCCTACGGAACTAAAGCCTTTTGTACCAGATCATGAAATGCCAACAGCAAGCAGAGACTTGCTGTCCTACCCTCCAAATACAGCCGTTCCTTTCACTACCATTCCTTCAGAGAYGGGAGTTGTGGTGCAGGAAAACATTACTGCAAGTTTAACAGCTCTGCCTTTTGGGGCTGCTGCAGAAGGATCGCCTCTTCATCTGCCGCTCCTGGGTGAAACCAGCGCTGGGGATCCAGATGCCACAGCACAACGTGCAGAGCAGTATGGTGATGTTTACACCCATGAGAGTAGCTGGGCAGCAGAATCTCTCAGTCCAAGGACCGACCCCACTCAGAGCATTCCCTGGGCCATGCCAGCTTCAGCAGCCAGTTCTGAGCCTGCATTTTTCCCTACGAGTCTTCCACTTGTGTCTTTCCCTCTTGATTCAGCTGCCATTTCCGTGAACTCTAATACAGTTCTTAATGCCAGCCTGTTTACACGGGAATTCTCCACTACAGCACCAAATTTGCCTGCTGGTTCAGAAATACCAAGTCAATCAGAGCTTGTCGGTGAGCTCAAGAGTCCAGTGCCTTTCACGAGATCRTACAGTTACAGTTGTCTGTATTGTGACTCAGTTTCCCTTCTGCCAGAAGCAGGCTTTCCCCCAGAACATGACATGGGCTCAGGCGACGATGCTGAAACTCTGTCCATCAAAGCCTCTGAAGTACAAGGCGTAACCCTATTTACAACTCTAATTACTGATGGGTATGAGTTAGAGGARCCTACACCTGAGATTTTTGATACTTCTTTTCCATCCAGACCAGTTGTTTCACTTTCTTCCAGATTCGCAGAAATCCCCGATTCAAGCATGTTTTTATTAAGCACTACAGACACTAGAACACCTGTGACAATATCTCCTTCCTACCATCATCTCCCTGGGGAAACATCAGTGAACATCTCTGTTTCTCAGACCCTCCCTTTTCTGGAAACAATTTCATGGACTCCGAGCACTCGTGTAGAACTTCCTGGTGCCACCACTGTCCCATTGGACTCTACCATCCTCCCRAGTGAGCCAGTACCATCGTTTGCAATCAGACAGACAACCTTGCTGGAATTGCCAGAATTAATGCCATCAGAATCCGTGTTTTTGCTTGACAAGACATCTACAAGGGAGGAACTGTCGTTAAATATTTCAGATTTTCCTTCCAGTCTTTTATCAACGCCATTTCTTATTGAATCTAGCTACTTGTCTTTATCRTTGACCATGCTACATTCTTACTCTGTCATGCAGAGTGATTTATCAACATTCTTACCTCAGACCTTGTTGACTGGGACATCGGTACTTCCTGAGGATGTTACCAGCTGGGACTTAGCTTCCCCTGTCAGCTCTGCCACTGACACCGAGGTTTCTCAGTTACATCTTGGCCAAACATCATACTTCTATTCAAATGCATCGTCCCTTCCAGACACACAGGTYCCTGAAATAACGCCATCGTCTTATTTTCACTCAGAGTCGTCCGTGTTTCTGGAAGCATCCTTGGTACTGCCAGTGGGCTCTGAAGTTGTGTTTACCTCAGCTGCCACAGGAGCTACCTCTCAGTTGGAGCCTTCACTCTCCACCTCTCCGTCTGTGGTTCCTACCCTGGTGCTGCCCACTCCCGACACCCCGTCTGTTACCAGCAGCATCTCGCTCAGTGAAACCAACCTGATCTCTTCGTTTACGACCTTGCCAGCAACTCCTGTCTTAAACGTATCTTCATCTCTACTTTCGACTGCTCCGGGTTCTGATGAGGATATTGGTGCTACACTTAACCCCACGCTGCTTTTGACATCTGGCAGCGAGGGCAGTGCCCCCACAGCCCTTCCTCCCCCAGCCTCTGACAATGTCACATCAGATGACACCATCAGCGTGACGCCTTTTCCTACATCATCTCTCTCTGCGACCTCGTTGTTTGCTCCCACACAATTCCCTGTGACCTCCAGCCCTCCCMCTGGATATGAAGTTCCATCAGGCAGCAGTGTGACTGCGGGTGCTGATGCATCAGCTCCTTCCACCACTGTCACCACTGTAGGCAGCCCGGGGACATTGTCCTCCACCCCTCTGGGCACCACTACTCCCTCTGAACTCGTGGTTGTAACTTCTGCTGTGACTACTACCAGGCAGCCGTATGTCTGCGACATCACCGTTCCCGACCCTTACTTGGTCACTGCGGGTAAGATATTCCTTACATTTTTATTTTTTTGACCTCCTTGCTAAACTGCAGATTTTGAATTAACTGAGTGAACCTCTCAAAGAAACACAGTGTAAATTTTAACTTAGTGAACCTTTCAAAGAAACACAGTGTAAATTTTAACTAAGTGAATCGCTCAAAGAAGCCTGGCATAAATTTAGACAGAGCTGTAAAAACATCTGTTTATCATTTGCTGTTAAAAATAATAGAATTCACTTGAAAAAGTCCATGGTGATAGCGAGTTATGCATAYGCTACACTGCACAGAGAATGAGATTGTCTTCTAAAATTGCTGATGCATTTATACAAGTGTGCTGAGTTAGAGGCTGCTTTATCATTTCATCGGTTGTAAATGATTGTTACTGTCATGGTGCTGTTCTGCCAAACTKTTAAATGTTCTGACTGAGTAAGTTTCTTCTTTCAGTTGTTGCTGCTGTTTGTAAAAAAAAAAAACACCTGCATGTGAGGTAATGTTGTAATATGTAAGAGGAGAATTGGTTTAAAAAACGTTTGGGTTTCGCTACCTTTTTTATGATTTTACCTTACTAGCTTATGTTTGTGTCTTACCTCCTCCTGTACTTACTTTCAGTTGGATTTGGTGTGTTTGTAACCAGAAAAAGTGACATTAATGTGTTTCAAAATTAATTGTTYTAGCATCTGTGTTTACTTTTCTGGTGTTTTCCTGCCTCTTCCTAGCTTGTTAACAAAACAATACCAGCAAACTAATCCAGGGCAGCTGCAGAAGTGCTGCATTTTCATGGGGAGCAATATGTTTTACCCTTAGGATTTAGTTGTAAGAAATAAAGCAGAATGAGCATAATCTCAGCTTCCAGATAGGTAGATGATCTAGCTATGCTAGTGATGAGGAAGACTTTTTTTAAAAATGTGTAATTTGAGTCATTTTGTAGGCAAGTTACCGGTGGAAAGTAAATGCAGGGTGACAACACGWCACTTTTCAGTTGTTTGCTTAACCCACAGTCACAGTGTCAAGTGTGACTGTAACARGCATGACATCCATTGGGATGTGGGGATTTTAAAGCTCTTTCTTACTCTATGGCTATCCCTTTCATTAATTAATGTCATGTTTATTTACTTTTTATTTAAGAGAGAAGCAGATGCATATTTTCTGTGGCTTTTTTCTGACCTTATCTGCATTCCATGTGTTCCCTACAAAACTTTTAACTGCGTTGTGACAGCAGACTCATTCACAAGTCAGACTGAATATGCTGCTGCTTTCCCATTTGAATGCTGCAGTGACTCTTTAGAAGTTTCTTTTATTAGACTGCTAAAGACATTAGATATGGAGAAACAGAAAAAGGGAAAGAAAATAAACGTGCAGTTCCTTAAACTTTACAGACAGTCACTTTTTAGGATACAGTCACACCTTTACCCTTGTCCTTCTCCTTCATCTTACCTGTTTGATGCAGTTGACCTCACTGCCTGCTTTTTCATGCATTGCACAATTGAAAATGCAGCTTTGAATCAAAACCCAAGAGTTGAAGCTAAAATGTGTTTTCTGACTGACATTAATTTCTAGTGCTGGCCCGAAGAGCTGTTCTACGAAATGTCAGTGAATCCATCAGACGAGTGCTCCGAGCTCAGTTCAGGAGATCAGTAGAGCTGGAGGTAAGTGCTGTGGAGAGTGTGCAAGTACTGTTTGATCAATGGAATACAACAGTGGGTTTAGTTCACCAGCTAAAATAGTAATTCAGACAGTCCATAGATAATGGATCAGAAAGAACTTTATTTTAACTTGAATGGTAGTCCTGTTTCAGCTGGGTTTTTTTTTTTTTTAATGAGAATGCGATGTAAGATTTTTTTTACTTTTAGAATGCCATCATTTTCTAGGACAGACCTTCCTTGGTTTTGCCAGAGGTGAGCAAGCAGTGTCCAGACTCTACTGCTCACCTCCTTTGGCTGGTGAATTGAAACTGAAGAACTTYTACCCTTCCAAATACCTGTTAAGCAGTTCTGTTTGTTCTGCTAGCTGATCATATACTTGGCACTTTAAACAAAACAAAACCTTCTGCACAGCCTTGTGCTATTTTATATTATAAGTGAGGCCATCAACACTTGCAGGTGAGGTGGTGGAATCCCAGATGCCTGACTTGGCAGATGAAAAAGGCTGGGGAAAAAAAACCAGGTGTGCAAATAGTAAGATGTTATTTTTACACCTTCAGGTAGGTGTAACTCCTGTCCTTCCCCGCTTCCTGTCCTTCCCCCCCTCACAGGGATAGTTGTACTGTTGGGTTTTTCTGAAAGCTTCCTCTGCTTTGATATTCAAGGAACATCTTTGAACAATACTTCAGTATTGTTTTCTAACTTCAAACTGATTGTCTGGTTGAGATGAGGGTTGAAGGCTCTGTTCCCCACCTCTGTCTCAAACCCTCTGTTTGAGAGGAAAAGACTGTAGGGGTAGTTTGGGGGTACCTTTGTTGTATAATCAGATATTTCAGTRCTGGGGACAAAAGGAAGTACTTCAGTGGAATTACTGGTGTAGATGAGGTCCAGCTGCAGTTTTGCATGTCTGTATTCATCWACTTGTCACAGCCCAGCACCACATTATGTTTTTTTGAGTCAGTGATCTCATTTTCATTATGTAGTTAATTCAGGGAGCAGTTTGAATGTTGAACATAACTTGCATTTCTTCATGCACAGAATCCTTTGGTGCCTTTAACTTTGGCAGCTCCCATAATCACTGCACTGACTAATTAAACAACTCCTATAATCACTGCACTGACTAATTAAACAACTCCTGTCTGATGTCTGAGGATGTACATCTCTACTACTCTGTCAAGATGGGAGTGTTATAAATTTCTGCCAAGCTTGAGCTGCCTCTATAAATGATGTGTAGTTTATATATTGCTCATGAACTGTTCAGATTTTTTATATGTGAGATTTTTCTTCTGGTTTGTGAATTATACCTTCAGATTTTGCAGACTGGAATAGCCAAGAAGTCAGTTGTTTGTGATGGAAGTGCCACACTTAATTTTCAGTGACCTTACACAGCTYAGTAATATGGAAGCCCTTACCTTCTTAACATTAACAGCAGTAAGACAAAATCTGTCAGCTAAATATTTGAAGGTTAATTTATATATTGCTTTATATATTGCTTTATATTTTTTCTCTTTAAAGTTCTGCCTCTCATGCCTTCTAGTGCTTTCATAAAGCTCTCAATAAGAGAAGCTTCTCAGAAGTCCTAAGGCTTCTCAGAAGTAACTGTTTTTATAAATAAKGCAGCTAGTCCAGCTTCAATTCTTTTGAAAATCTCTTTTATCAAAAGGAGAGACATCTTTGCTGAATCAGATTTGCTTATTTTATGCTAGAACGCTTCTATCCATATGGGTTTTGCACCAAAAATAATCGCTAGCAAATGTCTTCACCTCTAACTGTGAAATACTAACAAAACTGTTATTTTGAAAAAGAGCTGTCTATAATAGCARTATGTTGAGAGGTGATGTAATGCARTATTTTAAACAGAATTTGTCTATGTTGCTAAACTTAATCAAGACCTGACTTYTGTTAGTCAGGAGTACCTAGGAGCCATGTGTGTGTTTGCAAGTTATGGTAAAGCTGTGCACTTCTCTAAGCTGCTTTTTTACTGTGTCTCTTATTACAGCACACAGATGTTCCCTTGCTGTGATGTAATGTACATTCAATCAAGAGACAGTCTAGTTAAATTTAATTTTGTAGTAATGTGTGCTTTTAAAAATAAAMTCTATGGCAATGATGGCTGCTCACTTTAAATAGGAAGCAAATTTAACAGTGAAAGGAGRAATAAAACATTTTTTTCCCTCAACYTTTTCAKTTGAAGCTTTGGGCTYKGCTACTCGATTATTTCAAACACKGTGAGTTGTTGAAGTGGAAARAAAGAGGAGGCAGAACCCTGCCAAATGAAAAAAAAAACTTTTGTCAATTTTTTCCTAGAAAAATCCTTACAGTGAAGTGAAAATAACCAAAAATTCCAAAGCTTTTTCCAGTTGGTCTCAACATATTGGATCTGCAAAAGAATAATACCCCATTGTCTGACTAAGAGTAATTTTAGTCAGTTTTCTGTGATGTAAAGCTTTGGTAAGGTTTGTTAGACAATGTTCTCTTGACTTGACTTGCACTGCGGTGTAAAGTAAAATAATGCTAGCACTGACTCACTGCCAGGACCCCTGGTGTCATTAAGTTCATGCCAACAGGAAAAAGCTTTTTGCCAGTCTCATTTGTGCCTGGAAATTTCGTCATGYATTTTAGCATTTTTACCTTAGCCACTTCAGTGTTGTATTCAATCTGKTTTTGGGGGTGTGTTCTTAACCTAYTGGTTCCTGTAATCCCAAATCAGTGAACTCTGCCTCCAAAGTAAGGAGTTCAGTTCCTTACTGCCAGGTAAATGCTTTTTTCAAAGATTTCACCTTGTGGACTTGCACTGGCTTTATCTCTGCTTCACTCTGCTGAAGTTCTGGGTGGTACCAATGAGGTATGGAAAACCAGTGAGAACTATTGCCTCAGGATCCTAAAGAGCATAGAAGCAGAAGCTTTTTTATATTTTTAAGGCCTGTGAGCCTTTGTAGTCCATATTCAGGAAATTAAGCATCCTCTGCAGACTCTTTATAGGATTCTTAATAAGGTGGTGGTGAGGAAATCAGTTGTTGATGCTTTCTGCCAGATGTTTACTCAGCATAATGTAGTGGAGTGTAGGTGTGGATTAGGTTGTGGGAAAGGTGCATCTGATCAAGTATTTTAACTGGCAATAATCAATATCAAATGCTTAGGAAACATCATAAGGGACAGAAAAAGGATTCAGTGATKTTTTTCCTAAACAATCTTCTAGCCTCTGCTAAACTGAGGCTTAAAAACTTTCTGTTCTGGACATGCTCTCTCTCTTACGAGGGTAGGTAGTGTTCTGGAAGCAGCAAGGTTGGGTTGATCACTGCACTTCGGAGCAGGGATAGYTTGAGGTGTTTTAAGAGTTCTCTGCTCCTATTAAAGGTTTCTGCTTTTGCAGTGGGAATGGCTCCAAAATGTACGTGGAGTTTTGTGTGCTTCTCTGGCTTTCTGGCCCAAGGTGTTAAAGTAAAAAACTTGTACTTTTAAACACAAGAAATCTGTGCTTGTGTACTTTAATARCAACACTCTAAAATGGGATGGTTGAGCTGCCTAATTTGTTAAYGTTTAGCTGTTCTGGCAGGGGAGGTGAAACTTCCAGGAGAGGAATGGATGGATGTCTGGATCTGTGAACATTACAGCAGCAATTCTCATTCATGAATCATGAATCCAGAATCATGAGCTGTGCTCATCTCTCCTAGATAGCTTTGTAGACTTCTCCATTAATTATCTTGTCGACAGCATCGTGCTGCCAGGGGTCTGTTATTTCTGTCATATGGATKAGTCTGTAGAGAGCTAATTCTAGGCAGCCCTGCAATATCTCAAGCCGAAATAGCTATTGTTTTGACTTGTAATGGTTCTAATCTGCCTATCTCAAAGTTACTGTTGAAAGTGGGTTTTTATTTTGGGTGTCCATTCCGGTGTTGCAGTGAAGCACAGAAGGGAACCAGTGTTAGCTGTTGGGCCAAAAAAGTTAATTCCAGGGTGGGCTGCTTTCCTGAAATCTGGTACAGTACAACCAGTCAGAGATGGAGGCAGCTGAGCTGCTTATCAGAGGTTTGCTTTGGTGTCTGAAATACCCAGCTCGAGTGCAGAAGTATATGCTGGCTGCAGCAGGCCTCTCTTGCTTTGGAAATCACCAGCAAATTGTCATTGAGATTTGTAATTCTAATTCCTCTTTTCCTTGCCTTTTAAGTAGCCTCATTTGCAAGTAATGGGCAACTTTCTTTTGGCATGTGTTACCCGTTTTAACTGCTGTTTCCATTGACAAACTGAAGCTGCAGAAATTATTTCATCATGAGATAAAAGAATAAAATTTCAGATAAGAGGAACTGAAAAGAGCCATGCACATTATTCATATCAAACAAATTTGAGTTTTATGGATCTGAAGACATTTAAAATAAAAGTTGGATGTTGCATATATTTGTGGGCTGAGGGAAGAAAGGCATAAAGAGCAGCACAGATTATTTTTCTCCTTTCCTGCTGCTACTGTGGTGGTTTCTTCTGGTGAAGATGAGCTCTCTGAAATGCATGCTTTCTAGAGGACAGGAAAGAGCTGCTTGCTGTCTCATCTCAACAGCAGTTGCCATCACTTCACACTACTGCAGGAATACCAAGAAGGACCATGGGGGTTGCAGTTTTAGTGTCATTGTGCTTTTCTAGAAACTATTTTTTTCTTTCTTTTTTTTTTTTTTTTTTTTTTTTTTCTTTTCTTTGCTTCTGACCCTGAAGAGGAAATTACCTCACAAATCCGTTCACGGCATCTGCAAAGTGCTAGCATCTCTTCAGCTAAGAGCTCCTCATTTATCAGAAACTTTGGGTCTCTGGTTTGCATTATTTATCTGCGAGGCCATCATGTTGGACATCCCAGAATATTTTTGAAGTGTGACTGCCATAGGCAAATAAAGCAAACTGGGGGAGTAAACCAAAAAAGGAAGAAAATAATGATGGGCAAACAGGTGTTCTTGTGAGAGTTTCTCTGAAGCAGAGGACACTGCAATATGTTTAAATAAATAAAACCCCTTAGTTTGTTCTTACTTAGGTGACTGAGAAATGGTGGCTAAAAGCGTCTGCATGGCTCAAGGTTTATATTTAACTTGCAATCTCATTTCTTTTACATGATGTCTAAGGCTCCTCAGGGTTTTTAAGAGGAGTCAAAGTCAGGACATGAATTGGATGAGGAGAATTGTAATGTGGTAACTGTGTTGAAACAAGCAGATAGAAGTGTTCCCTGGAAGAAAGTTTGAGTGTGGAAATTATATCCAAAGAACGTAGGTTATGTGTATTTGACTCCTTGTGTGGCACATATGAATGGTATGGGATGTATTCACTGTGCAGTGTATGACTGAAATGCAGAAGCTCTGCAAGCAGTTCAGTGAGTGAACAGGAATTCTGTTTGGGAAATGTTCTGTACATCAGGGGAATGCAGGAGAGGGGGAGTGCTAATGTGTGGGGATGTGATAAATCAGGAAGTGGTGAGATTGGTGTGTGGCACTGAACAGATTCCAGTAGATGCACCTGGCACAGGGAAATCTCTCTGATGCACTGGAGCAGAGGCTGCAAGGCACAGCACTTGTGTTTGTGCTTCTGCTGCTCTTTGAAAAATAAAATTTGCATTTTCCTGCCCTTGGTGATGTGCCTTTGAATTGCATGTAGGTCCAAAATGTCAAATTTAACATGAAAGGTTTTTTTTCCCCTAATTTCTGATTCTTTCTTTTTTTTTGTAGGTTTATAAAATTTCCCCCAGATTTTCTTTCTTGGTGACATCGGGTCCTTTCGTTTACACGGCAATAGCTGTCATCAATGTGCTTGTGAACAGCAGTCTCCTTCGTGGTGAGGCCCCCATGATCCTCTCCCTGCATCCTTCTTTCACTGTGCCAGACAACAGATTCCAGGTTCAGACAGGTGAGTTCTTCCTGACACAAAGGTGGCTTTATGTTGATTCACACTTCTTCACTTGTGATGCAAGGGYGAGTCAAAACCCTGTGTTCTACTGTGAATCTTCATTCTTGTTAATCACATAATTTACAGGTGCATGGCAGAGAGGTGATAAATTGTAAACAGAAAAATCAATTCATGATTTTTTCCAGGAATTTTTTTTTTTGGTATGTTGTTCTTTTTCTTCCTTCTAAAGGTGAGAAGAGAAAAAAAGACCATGAGGCATTTATTCATGAAATCACAGCRCAGCTACTTTATAATGCTTGTGTCAAATTCAGGATAAATTTATGTTAAAAGCYACCTTTTTGTGTCATGGTGATGTAGGAGAATTGGTGAGCAGGAGGATTGATTGCTCACGTACATTGTGAGCAGCAGGATTGCTGATGGAGTATTCAGCTTTTCATGGCTGCTGTATTGCAGCAGTTTATGCAAAGTTTATGACTGCTAATAATCTAAAGCAAGGTAGTACCCGTGTAATCGATTTTGAGAGTCAGTGTTGTCATTTAAAATCTTCTTTAGGCTCTGTTTGCGTGATAAAACTGCCTGCCTGGTTGGTTGGTTTGCTGTGTAATGAGGTAGTGACAGGGACTGAGCATGCAGGCAGAGTTAAAAAATGTCAGCATGATACTTCTGTTCAGGTATGTTTCRTGTGCTGTTTATGCTTTGTTAATAATTGTGTGGCAGGACGTCACTTTAATTGTGCAGGTGTGATGTCTTTTTCCACTGCTTGACATGGTTCTGTAGATACRCAGCAGATGTATTTTTGGGGTTTGAACCTTGTATAACATTGCTGTGGGATGTTTAAGCTAACCATAGCATTTCTTTGGGTAAGAATATCTGGAAATCCACAGGTGTGCATGGAGTTAAGGTCTGTGTGCCTGATCACATTCCTCTACACTCACTCTTTCTCTTGTGCTCTCTTTCTCTCTTCTGAACTTGAAAATGTCTGTATCTAAATTTAAAAGATGTSTTACTAAGTGTTTTGAAAGTATTAGACCAATTCTAATGTGCATTAATGGACYCAATATGTAGTCTTCCAGACAAGCTAAATACTGTATTTCATATACACAGGCTACAAGAAAGAGATATTTTTTGCCTTTTTTTCCTGAAGATTTGCATGGATGGGTTGGGTACTAAAGATTTCAGTGTGGCTGATTCAGGTGAAGTTAGCCACATGTATATAGGTGAAGGTCTTTGAGTCTGCAAGAGAAAAACAGTATTTTGTCACTTATATCTTTCAGAAATCTAATTTGTCACTTACATCTTTCAGAAATCTAATCTACTCCAGCCAGTATTAGTGAGTAGATAATTTACTGTAGCAACACAAAATGTATTTTTATGATAATTTTAGCTGGTGTTTCGCTCAATGTGTCCTGAGCTTCATGAAAAAAGAAAGTGATAGCCCTGTGAATTCTGTTGCTTGTTTTATTCTCTCTCATGGAAATACTTTTCTGTAGGGATAATGTTTGCCCTTTTGCTTTCAGTGCTTCAGTTTGTACCTCGAAACGTGGATATTAGGTTCTGCAACTTCAGCCAGCGCATTGAGAAAGGGCTGACAATGGCATTCCTGGAGGTGAACAAACACCAGGAGTTCTACAACTTTACTGTGCAGGTAAGAAGATGAGCATGTTTTGTGTCTGTCCCATTTTCTCCCTCMCATTTTTGATTGTCCTGTGTTTCATCCAGCCAGTAAAATGCATTGGGTGTTCACTGGCTGTCAATTGTAGTCTAGATCATGTAGAACTCTGAAGCTTTGTCATGAAGTCAATTGGTTTTTTCCCCTACAAAATAATATGGCAACACATGCCCCTCTATTTACAAGCTTTTTGAATATGATAGGGTTTATAATTTTTCAAAGAAAAGCTGTTCCAACCCTTACCAAAGTCACTCCCATGATAGTTTACTATAAAAGAGGAAGGTGTGGTTATAAAGTTTTTGTTGGAAGAAAACTTTCAGCTCTCGTTGCCATGCTGGAGACCCTGTAAGGGAATGTTGGAGTTATATCACTGCCATCATGTGAGCAAAGTTGCTTCTGAGGTCTAGAAATACTCACAGTATATGATGTCTGTGACAGCTGCTRCTGGAACTTCACACATGAAAGGTATTGCACGTGTGCAGGGCACTGAATCACACAGCAGAGCTTAGAACTCCCTGGAAAGGCAGTAATTCAATTTAATGAGACCAACTCCCTCTTCTGTCTGAGTTCTTAAATTTAATCTAACTCTGGTGCAATACCAAAATCAGTAAAAAATTTGATTATGTTGTTTAACTGACACCATAAATACCCATCTGTGGTACACTAAAATAAAATCAGGGAGAAAAATTACTTAACTTTTATAGTACATAAGGTACTACGTAGTACATGCAGAAAAGTGCTCAGAACTTTAAATACAATGACACAGTGTAGCTGCATAGAGTGAAGGCAGAACATACAAAACAATTTCTTGGACTATCAGCCAACTTATTTTAAATATTTCTTATTTCAGAACAGGTTTTTCTACATGAGCACAGTTGCTGTGTAAATTGATGCCACAAAACGGTTTCTAACCAGTGGTGGATTTTGAGTGTGCATGGTGCAGGAGATTTTAACCAAAAGAACATCTATTTTCAGAACTTTTTTTACATAACCCTTTTCTTCTGTTGCATGCAGTTTGGCATTCATCTAAAGCTTATTTAAAACTAGGTTTGTTCTGCTCACTGTCTTGCTAGGTGGTTTTTTTTCATAATTTTCTGGGCTGTAGCTTTCAGATCATTCTGGATTATGATTGATCATAAAGAAAAACTGTTTGAAGAGGAATTCACGTGTAACTTTGCCTCTTCTGAGACTCAGCTGGCTGAACCAATCTGGAACAGATGTTCCTCTGTCTTCGTGTGAATTGTCCCCTGCTTCGTATTAGAAGAAAAAAAAGTCTGTCAAAGAAGGGATCAAAATGGCAGAGATTTAATTTTGCTGACCCTGCTTCAATCCTATCTTTTCAGATCCTGAATATAACCCTGAGCAGGCCAGGGGTGGCATTTCGACAGGGCCCTGTGAGCATTGTTTTTGCCATCCGAGATAGGTCCGGTTTTCTGAATGGGTCTGAAGTCAGTGAGCAGCTCAGAAACTTATCCGTGGTGGAATTCAGCTTCTACCTGGGCTTTCCTGTGCAGCAGATTGCTGAACGTGAGTATTTGCTGTTACCCAATATTGCAAAATACTTTTTGTCTCATATCTTTCCTCTGTACAATTTAAAAGTAATTTTGTGCATAAGTGATAAAGCAGCTTCAAGTGCCTAACTYATTTCATGAGTTCTGCAGAGCAAATCTACACCACTTGYTGCCCAAATTTTGGTGTTACRGCAACTCACTGCTTTTAYYGTCATAATTYCATTGTGTTCTGGGTCAGTTGTGCYTAACCTGGCTTYGTTAGTCTTAGTCCAGATTAAAAAGAAAGAAAATCACCCAGGTCARTATTGCTGTGAAATGCAGTCCAAGGTGTGTCTCTGTGGTTATGTTTGCAGGGGCCTTTGCTGATTGTCAGCAGGTTTACTGCTTTCAGGATTKTGCTGYACTTARCTGTGTCTCTGACTTYTAGAAARCCTGAGAYACTGGYTGCATAAACTGATATTTGYCCATATAGTCTGAATTAATTTGTCYRTTATGTTTTAAGGTATTACCTTTCTTGCTTTTTATGTACATTGGCATTGCAAGTCATTTTTTCCAGACCAACATCACCCTAAAGGTAGATGAATGGGAACTGCCTGCATAAATGAGCATGCTTGACACTCAGCCTTGGCAAMTAATGTTTGGTTAGATTTTTGAGATGACTCAGGAACATAAGCAAGATCATGAGAAAACAGTACTTGCCTTTCCCTGCTGGTGGGTGTTGTTGACTCAGACCATTAATTCCCCATTTCTGCTATCTCGCTGTGCTTTTTAAATTTTGGAGTTATTTCTGTGAGCTGTAGAGGTGCATAACATCTGATACAGTGAGTTTTGCAATACAATCAAACATCTAGTGGAAAATCAGACCTGATAGTAGCTGGTGTTCATTCTGCAGCTGTGTATGTCAGTTAAAATACTGTAAAGAGAGTGACTGTCAGCAGAGCACCTTTTGATCCAGGTAAGATGATTGCACAGGATACTTCCACATTTACTGGAAGCAGTTTAAACATACTGATTTTTGAAAGCTTTTTATTTAACATTTTTCAGCATTTTTGATCCGTCTACTCTAATAATCTGTTAAAAAATGTGAAAGGTTATTGACTCATTTTCATTAAGCATTCCTGTTCTCATTTGGTCTCATACTCTCTGAGAGACTCTATGATAGGGCTGTGCAGTGGTAATTAAGTGGGCTGTTAAGTGGAGGCAGCACCAAAAGTCTCAAGAATCCCTGTCCATGAATGACTAACATTTCTTTTTATTTTGTGAAGCCATAGAACATCTCAGGTTGTGGATTATGGTCCTTTCTGCTCATTGAATTCAAATTAAATGCTGCTCTTGCCTTCATTGCTTGAAAGACACTTCTCTTTACTTTTTGTCATCTATTTTACACATTTGCCTTTGAGTTTATGTAGCTTTTAGTCTTCGGTAATACTTTTGGTGTTGAGGTGTGATGTACTACATTGGTTCTTAGAGCTTTATTCTGAAATGATATTTGTAGTGCATTTGYATGCTGCCTCTTGCTGAGAATCCACCTTCTAGATTTTGCAATGGAGCTATAGTTAAGCAGTTAAGGGATAACAGAATTTCTACCAAGGCCAGTGAATCCTGAAAAAGAGGCTGTTTAGAGGGAAAAGCATTCCTGTTAAACCATGTGCATGGTTCTCCTTGGGGCTGGAGCTAGATGACCTCTGAGGTCCCTTCCAAACCAAACAATTCTGTGATTTTATCTTTCCTTCCTGGTGGTACTTAGGAAATTTGGCATTTCTTTAATGCTGGTATCAGGAGCTCTCCCTGTGTTACCTGCATGTGCACAGTGCCTGCTCAGTGGGGATGAGTGGGGGACCCTGTGGTCACTCACATGTCAGTCAGAGAGCCAGGTAAAGCAGAATGAGTGAAAAGGTCAGGATTTGTAGGAACTATGAGATCTTCCCAAAGATTGCAATGTATAAGACATGAGGATTTGGTGGAAATACGTCCTAAATGTGTTCTAAATTTAGCCTTCGCTTGCTGTTAGAGGAACTCACGTTTACTGTACATTGAGCCCACTGCAGGACAGCACATTTGGGTTTGAACTGGTCCAATTTGGTTTCAGCAGCACTTTGACAGCCACTGCAGGCCCTGGAATACCATGCATGGTGCTGTTTGATGAGTTGGCAAAGTGGGAACACAGTTTCCCATATTACTACAGCTATGGGTCTTTCTGTCAGCAAGCACAAAAAGATGAATGCAGTTCAAATGCTTTTATCAGTGAGACAGCCACAGCCAGTTATTTTTAGCAGTTTCTACAGTTTTTTTGTGCTGCTGCTGTGACTGTATTTTGAGCCTGAGGGTTTCAGATCTTCAGTRTTCAGAGCCAAGAATCCTGTCCAAAGGCTCAGCAGCATTGGGCAGATCCTTCTTGAAACATCTTATTCAACAGTCTGTTGAGGGTGACCAACAGCCAGATTCTCAAAGCTATTTTGGCAGGGAGATGCCTCAATGTTTTTGTTTTCTAGGCCCTAAACTCTGCATTCATTCTTTGCCTTGCTCTTCTGAGCAATTGTAGCCAGGAAGGTGTTACAACACCTGAGATTTTCAGAAATGTTGGATATTTACATATGAACAAATTCACACTGAAAGCATTAATTTGCACAGATCAAAGACTGTAACAATCTATGTATGTTAGTGTTTATATGTAATTATGAAATGTTCCATGRCACGCTGCTCTGTGCCATTTGTGCTTTAGTTATCAGGCATGCTAAAAGTTAATACTCCTGGTGGTGASTTTTCTTCTTCCATTAASGACTCTGTGTAAGATTTTGGAAGTTTTGTAGATGAATCTGAAGAAAAATAAATTATTTGTAGGTGAGCTGAGTGTCAGAACTCAAACCCCAGCTTCAGGGGTTGAAGTTGATCACACCCAGGGAAAGCTACTTGTGCATCTCAACATTAAGTGAGATCTTGACATCAATATCCCAAATTTAAGCCTTGTAGAGGATGTAGTTGCTCCCTGCTACTTGTTTGCTTTGCATTGTCCTCTCACTGTTTTTTTCACATTCACTATGTCCTGTTTAAACTTTCAACTGTGTGATTTGTCCCTGAGCAGTACATCATTAACAGCTGGAATTCTTCATCAGCTTTTTCCCCACTCATGGAGAGTCTGGATCAGGAATGCAAGTCATTAGTTTGACAGATTTGGACTGTTCTTTGCAGGAATAGAAATTTCCAGACTTTCTCCTCACACAACTTCTAGGTGACTTCAGCAACATGCTTGTATTTAAATGTTTACACTTTTTCCACTCTTGTTTTTCATTGTCCACCTTATGGCTCATGTTTCAGATTGTAAATTGGTTAGATGGTCACGACCTACATGACAGGAGAAAGAAACCCAATCTAATCACAGGGTTTGGGTGCTAGTTATTTAAAAGTAATAGGAAATTATATATTTGGTCTCTTCTTATGGCTGGCAGAATTCTTGGAGGACAGACAAAGACTAGCAGTGGAGTAGATGGCAATATTTGCCTTCATGAACTTATCCTAAATAAACCTGTTTGTTTTTATTAGGACTTTAAGTAGAGAGAGTTGCCTTGGGACTTGCTGTTTTTCCAGTGCCAAGTAGCACTTTGATGCATGTCACCTACTTTGGCTGTCTTGGAGMTGTTGCAAGGCCAATAGGATAAATGTAAAATTGAATGGTACGGTCCAAGGACTGCCAAAACATTTGGCAGTTTTTTTCTGGGTGGATTTTGGATCAGACTTTAAACAGACACAGTGTGTTGCTGTTACCCACCTCCCAGTATTTGCATAGAATTTTATTTTTCAGTTAATGCCTTCTCATTCCAAATACTGCATTCTCTCCATGCTTTCTACTACTCTTCTCCGTTTATCAGAAATAAGAACGGTCAGCACGATCCCAGTTCTGTCCTTTGTGGTCCCATAGTCTACAGGAGAGAGTCAGGGATCCTTGGAGCACCTGGCAGTGGTCACTCTCCCTGAATGATGTGCTTGAGCTGCTGTCAGTAGGGCTCTGGGTGACCAAGTGACCCTTTGCCTTTTCATTCAGCACCAAATCGATGCTGTTACACAGCGTGGTGCTCCAGGGCTGCGTGTTAGGATCTTCTAATGATGCCAGCATCTACTTCATTAATGCACCCACAGTCATTAGCAGACCAGCTGCAATCTAGCTAATAATTGYATTTTGTCTACCCAGCTTCCCCTTCAGAATAACAATCAGTCAGTGCTGTTTATAATTGCCAGTTCCAGAGGACATTAGGAATCTTGCAGATAYGATCTTGCTGCAGTGCTGAGATTCCAGATGAGCTCAAGATCTGGCCACGTGTGTGTTAGTGAGACACTTGAGTGACCTGTGGAATAAGGTTTGGGAACCTTTGCTGATTTGTGACACTTTSCAGCATCCTTTTTCAGCCTTTAGAACCTAGCCTTAGTTGGCAGTGATCACAGCGTATCTTCCTTTTCAATGTCAAGATTTTCTGCTCAAGTTGGTTTATTTTTAAGTTGCATTAATGCCGTGAAAAGTTTAAGTGAATAGTCACCCAGCAATTTGCATGAATTAAATCATTTTCAAGTACTAATTAGAAAAAGTGTGAAGAGCGCATTAAGTATTGAAGCAAAACATGACTTTGGTTCAGAAGAAGAAAAAACTCACAACTGCCAGCAGTTCAAAGCATTATGGTCACTGGAAGGTTTTTGGTTTTCTTATCATGCTCTTCCCATGCTTTGGAAAACAACAGAATCAGTTTTCCATTTAGTTTATGCTTTTTTTTTGTTCAGCTTCCATTTCTAAATTGAAGTAAACAATTGCATGACGAGAGTAAATAGAATTTCAATCTGAAAGCTACAGTCAGAAGAACTGAGTAGCAGGATGCCAAAAATAAATGTGTGTGTGTTTAAATGGACTATGTGAGGTGCTTTTTGCTTGTCAGAGAATTTTGGAAATTTAGTGCATCCTGATCATTTGTGTGGAGGGCCAGAAAAAAGGACCATCTTCTAATACCCATCTGAATGGGTGGGTAAGTCACAGAGTTCCTCCCAGGTGGTCATCTTGAAGCTAGTGGTGCTATTATTGAAATAAAGGTGGAATAACCAAATTTTCTTCTTTTTTTTTTCAATAGGAGTTAGTTATTAATCTGTGAAAATAAAAGGTAAAATGTAACTAATGATACTTTTGCTTATTTCTTAACAAAAAAAAATCGTACATTTTTTAAGGAGCAGAAGAATCAGTTTTTAGGTACACTGACAGAGCTTGTCTGCAAATTATTGCATCATTAAATTAGAAAAATTTTAATTTTCTTCTTCTTGGAAACATGGAGTAGTGGTAAATTATTCCACAACTTTGGACATCTTTATTCTAAATTGATCCAGCATGGGCCAGGTCATTTAATTGTTATGTGCTGCATTCTTTCTGTCCATGAAATGGTTTAAAAATTAACCTTCGTGTAATGCTTAGCAAACTGCATCTGGATTAAATATTTTGAGAAAGTTAAGACCATTCCTTTTCCTTATTGCCACAGTGAAGCTTAAGACTTCCCTTGAGGAAAGTGTTGGCCCAGCCCCCATCTTCACTTCTTTCCTARCATGTCTTTACTGCTCTCCAGTGGAAACCTTGGGAAAAATCTTACCCATACTCAAGTCATTAGAAATGGACTTTTTTCCTTACTGGAGCAAGGATTTCACTCTGGAGCAGAGCTTTTTTTAAAAAAAAAATAGAAATTAAGAAAGCTTGGCTCTACCAAGACAAACACAAAAGCCGTGGGGTTTGTCTACAGCAATGTTTCTACGTGCAGGTATCTGTGGGTTTTGTAAAAAAAAAAAAAAAAAATATCAAGGTGATTTTTTTAAACACTTCCCCCTGCAGAAGTCTGAAGCACAAATCAGATGTGTTTAGTTCTCTGCTTTACATTTATTGTTTCCTTGTAGTTTCTGCCTCAGAGAAGGTCTAACTTTCATCCTGAGACACTCACGAGTTGCCCTTTGAGCAAGAGTCTGATCCTGCAGCTAGCTGGGGAAGAGTCACAACTCAGACAGTGAGCTTTTAAATTTCTGGGAGCAGTGACCTCGGTGCAGCAGCTCCAAGTCTGTCACATCATAAATCTGACTGTTCCTGTTAGCTTCTGTTAGTCAGAGACAAACTGGGCTCTGTGTGTTCAGAGCACTCCCCTCACCATTGTGCCTGCATYGCCTCAGGAGCAGAAATGCATCTGTGTAAATAAGATGCTGGCTGACAGTATAAATTATGTAGTGCCTTCTGCTTTTGTGTGTGTTGCTCAGAATGCTGTTCTTACAGATGTTTTCCCTCCCTTCTGGTTTTTTTTCAGCCTTTCATTATCCTAAGCTGAACGTGTCCCAGCTGATGAAATCGTCCTGGGTGAGAACAGGTACGTACAGTCTCTGTGAGTAATTAGTTTTGTTAGTGGGATAACYGGCCTGCATAAATATCCATAGCTTAGGGGTGCTGTGTTTTTATGGGGTAATAACATGGCTGAGCTGAATAAATTGTAAAACCAAAGGCCCAGTGACCTGGAATATGTGGGAAATATAAATCCCTGGTCTAGAGTTAACTACTGCAGTTCCTTGATAATGCACACAAAGGACTTCTAGTCTATAAGGCAGTTCATTCTTAGTGAAAAAAACTCAGACTGTCAGGCATGAAGTGTCTACTCTGCATGTTGTCAATATGCTACATTGATTTTTAGGTAACTATTTTGTTTTAAGTGAAAATAAAAATTTTATTTCTATGCCGCTTTCTACCAAAGCACACCCAGAATCAAACAGTGAAAACAGATGAATTCTGAGTGCATGAAAGAGTTTCATCACATTTCATTGATCTCTCCTGATTAATTCACAGAAGATCCCTCCCACCAAAGTCTYCTGGATGTTTTATTCTGTAATTTAGAGATTACAGGTTGAGCTGTCACGTTGAGGTGCTCAGAGGGTGTTGAGGTTGCCTTCCTGCTGTAGGTCTCACCTGCTGCTTGTAAGCCTGACTGGTGAGGAGGCTGTGCYTACCAAACTTATTSTTAGGGTGCAGGTGCCCCACTGRATACATTTCTGTCCTCCTRCARCTTTTACCACCTGTAGTTCACCTGTTKTGTAGAYTTGMTCTTTTTTCCTGGTTTCCCTGTCTYCTCTCWCCAATCACAGTTTTGYTCTTTAAGCAGGAAACCAAACTGCTTAATCTTAATTTCTGAAGCCCACATGGTTTGYTTCAGAGAAGAAAGATTTAGAATTTCAGATAATGYTCACTAAGGTGGGAGAAGCTCCTGTGTGTGTCTCATATGCAGTGGTATTCTTCCTTAGGGATTTATGTTGGCTTTTTTGGCTACATCCGCTCCCTTTCTTGCTCAGCCTTAGGTTTGTCCATTGCTGCTGAAAATTCCCTTGACTCCTGAAGTAATAAAAGGGTTCTTCCAGCTCTGAAATCAGATCCCCTTGGGTTTTGATAAACTTCCTGCCTGTAAGACTTTGAAACTCAATGGCAGTAACTTTTTTTTTTTTTTTTTTTGCTGTAGAGGAAATTTTGTAGTCTCAGTTCTCTCAGGATTCTGGGGAGAGACTTTGGCTGGGTCAGTGCTTTCAGTCAGTGTATTGCATTGTAAGGGTAATGAATCATGACATAGGAAAATGACAGAATCTATGCCTTTAAAGGTTTTAACATCAAATGACCCAGATATATGTRCATGTATCCCAATAGTCATAAAATGCTGGGGTATGCAGTGTTGTAGAATACAATTCATGCTATTAAACATAATTCATTGATACTGAAATCCAATAGACAGGCAAGAACAGTTTTCTGTTTGGTGTATATAATAGCCTTAGGTCACTGTTTATTTTGCTATTTAATTTTGATATATTTAGTCTATGATTCAGTTCGGATTTCAGCAAGAAATCATGAAAATACTTCCTTTTTCTGACATCTGCAGTGAAAAGCTTTAAATTAAAAAAGTGGCTTTAATATATTTGTTTTAAAAATTTTAAAAGTTAAAACCATATTTAATTGATTTTATCTAATTGGTGGCTTTTTATTAWGCACTCCAATTAAAAAAAAATATGTAAACACAGAAAAAGGGGCTTCTGAGAAATAGAAGCAATTTAGTGGAGGGGAATTAAAACTGAATTTATTTCTTGCAGTCAGCAATGAGATGGCTTGCTCTCCAGAGGGGTTGCTCAGCTGGGTCATTTGAATTACTATTGCTCCATTCACTTCACTTTTCTCTAACTGGATGTCATCTTGCTAGTRAAAGTCCACCCTTTTTTTCAGGTTCCCTCAGGGATTCCTCCCAGCATGAGCTGCCCCAGTGACCCAGGGTACCTGGTTGCCAAGTGAGCAGGGCTGCCAGCCAGGGTTTTTTGGGCTGTGATTGACATACTTGTTAATCTTAGCAAGGGAAGCTGCTCTTGAATACGCAGCTTCATTCATGTGTTGCTCTTCTGCTTTTTCTCCATGAGACTGAACTCTGGCCCTTCCTCATTTCCAGCTCTGTATCACTTCTGCACACAACACTTTGCAATTAATTGAAGCAGACAATTTAGACTAAGTTTTCTCTTTTAGCAGTTTTTAAACAATTCATTGAATGCTCATAATTTGATGTGTTTTTAGAACTGAAGTAGTTTCCTAGCTTGGTTAAAGTTCTATATAAGTCCACTGCACAATTTTATTTTATTTTTTTGTTTTAAAAGATTACTTCTTTTAACCTTTTCCCACCAAATGTCACCCTTTTCCAACAAGGAACATCCAGCTGAACAGGGTGGAATTCCCATATAAACACAAGCGCTCTCGAATTGTCCGTGAGCTACCACTGGGTGACTCAAAGCTTGTAATTGAAGTTGGGGAGAAGATACTGAGAAGTTTTACTAATGAATTTATTTTCTTGGGTTGATTTCTGTGCAATTCAGTTCTCCTGGGTGTGGTGGACCAGCGAATCCAGGAGGAAGTGTTTCGGGCTGAGATGGAAAGAAAACTSGCTCACCTGTTGAACGAGGCGTTGGTCAGAGGGCGCATTTGGAGACGAGCCAGTTTCGCTGGCAGCAACATCGTGCAGGTATTGAGAGCTCAGAATCAGAGGGTGCAAAATAAATGATAAATTACAGAATAAGTTAACATGATTCATGTTTTGAGTTAGGAAATAAAACTCAAAAGCACGTGTCACATTTGATACTTATGTTTTGCACTTAAAAATATTGTTGTTCTTGTCTTTCAAGGTAAACATAACAAATGCAAATAACTGATTGTTTTAAGTGCCTGCATAAACTTTCTTCTGGCTTCTTAGAAACAACAGTGAAAATCATTTTAGCAAYATCCTATTTTAAAAATGTTCTATCTTGCTTAGCTTATACGAGGTTTCTAGCAGAAGGAGACAGGATGATCATCTGAAAAAAATTGATCTGCTGAGACWGCTGCTTCACAGCTCTCTGTGGTGGTTTGGTGTGGAAATGCAAAAGAGAATCATGTGTAGCTTGATGCAGGAGTGAAGTAGTGCATTCTACCCCTTAACTTCTTATTTGTCACAGTACTCCTGGTCACAGGGTTGGATTTCAGGTAATAATGATTAATCATGCCAAATTTTGCACATGTAGCAACTTTTGCTGTCTGGATTCTGRTGCTGCTTTAGAGTTTTGTCACCGGTGGGTTTATTCACATAAAGTTCAAGGARATTGGGATATTTAATTTAAAGTTTAAAATTCTGATGTGTTGTTTGTAGTCAGTTCTATGATCTGAAAGCCAAAGTACTTTTTTAATGGCTCATCTTCTTAAAAATTACCTTTTCTGGCTAATTCACTAACAGTTGGTTTACTTCCCAGATGCCCTTTTTRTATTTCAGACCTATTATCTTTATTTAGTTTAATCCTACAGTTTTTGCTACTGCTTAAATTTCCAGATGTTGGGATATTCTTATTTCTATTTTCCTGCCTCAGAAACATCTGTTTCAGTAATAGAGATTTTATTTTATTTTTCTTCTGTACAGCTTTGAATTGCTCCAAATAGGTGTCTACTTCAGATCTTCTATTCCCATAACCTCTTATTGCACTTTGTTCGTGATGCCTTTGTCCTCCCTTTGCATATAAATTAAACAAATATTCCTTAATGTTACTAGGAAAGCTACTGCAGCCTATAAAATGTGTATGTTTAGATTACTGTTTTATGGTTTTGCCTGATAATACTCAATTTATTTTTTCATGCACAAAAAATCCTTAGCTAAAGAGTAGTATTTTGGAGAGTGGAAATACAGAATTTTTCTTTTGACTTTGTATTACTTCCTGGGACATTTCCAGCCAGAAATGCTGCTCATTTATGCTACCTAATTAGTGCAAAGAGCCTGCCAGCTGCTGTCTTTGGGCAGAGGAGKATTCTGTTCATAGACACCTCCTGTAAACCTTTTACTTCTGTTAATTCTCATAGCCGAGTTTATAAGCTCTGTTTGAAGTGTRCTGTATATATGCATCTGTTTGTGTCTTATGGGAGAGCTAATCATGCTTCTTGGGCTTTATGTTCAGGTTTTCCCCTATAGATTTCTTGCACACAAGATATGATAGAGCACAATGAAATGAAAATAAGAACAAAAGCTGCCAGCAGCAAAAGTGTTGGATAGTTTTATTAACAGAACATGCATGTATCTRTTGAAGACTAGACTCATGTTTCACTGGTGTTGTGACCCTATAGAGCAGAGTTTTTCCTGAGGTGAAAGTTATTTATAGTGTATTGAAATGTGACATTTCTAAGCTCTGTGGAAAATCAGGACTGCAGGTCAGGAGGTGAAGCAATTATTTGTGAATGTTACTGCAGGCATATCGGTTTCCTTTCACATGCTCAGGAAATAGAAGTGATACCTTGYGAGTTTAGATTTCATTTCTAAAGGCATGTGTTAGTACCTAGGAATGTTAAAAATTATGCTTTAAACCTAGAAATTCTGAATAAGAGCTTTGGAGGGTACCCAAATAGCWGCCTTTCCCCTCCTGTCTGACTGTGTGTGCTGTTAACAGGTGGCACTTTGTGATAAAAAGAGAAAAAAGTCTGTAACCATGATGTACAAAAACCCCTCTGAAGCCTCACACCTGGCTGTTATACTTGTGATAGTTCCACTGATTTTTGTGTGACATTCTGTTAATGTTTCAGAGTAAGTCATGCATATATTCAATATGCATCTTCTGTTGCTGCAAATTTGAAGGCAYGTGCTTAATGTGGTTTGCATTGCAGCTGCAGAGACCTGTGCTGCATTTTGTCAGTAGTTTGCTGTAATAACTCAATTCTCATTACATTTTTTAGGAATTAAATGGCTTAATTGTAGTTTAAAAATACACCGGCAGCTAATAAAAAAATCCAGATTTGCCTTCATTTCAGTGTGCTTGGTCCTTTGAACCTAATAGAAAGTGAAAAGATGATCCTAGTAAATGACAGAGAGCAGTGCTCTGATTTAAAGATTTAAAGAACGTTGGGAAGCATTTMGTTGCAGTATGTGTCTCTCCTTTTTGTGAGAGTTTTTAGGTTATAAATTAAGCTTTTGGGGCACTGCTGCTGCTTCACCTTTTGCTCTGAAGCTTTTGGCCCCTCCAGCAGCCACCCCAGGCAGCCCCTCTGTCAGGCTGCTTCTACCTCTGTGTGCTGACCAAACCACAACAGAGCTTGAGTTCATTGCCCAGACACTAAAATCCTACTTCTAATAAGACAGAAAGAGAATAATTTCAGATCATTTTTTCCCAAGATGATGCATGACGTAAAGAAAGGGAAATCATCCTCATGCCTGCGTTTTGGAGGTGGTGTGTGCATATCTGCTGGTTTCTAAGTTGTGCTGATGCTTTGGAGACCCTGAAYCTGTTCACCCAGGGGTTCCTTGCTYCTGTGGGGTTTGCTGACCRGGACATCCCACTGGCTGGCACTCTGGGAATGCCTTGGGAGCTTCCCCACCACTTCTRTTGCCCTGCTTTGAAATTACGAACTAGATTCAGTTACCAAGGCAACTCTGTTCACTGACCTATGATATTCACTTGAAAACACTTTCTAAATTAAATTTACTGACACCTGAACACAGTTAARCCTTTCCTCTGTGGAGGTTAAATGCACATCTAGTATCAACAAAGATGGTATCATTTATGTACACAGAAGTTGAATTAGTCTTTTCTTTTTTTTYCCCTGCCTCCTGTCTTTGAAGTTATTCTACCTCCTCCCTCCCTATGTCATCTCTCACTGCCAAAGTAGAAATGTAAAATGCTTAAATGTTTCCTTATATGTGGGCTGCTTTGCAGGATGCCTGGAAAATAGTATTTGTCTCTGCTTGCATTCTTAGCACTCTCAAGGACAGAGACTAAACCAGTTTGAGGCTGCACAATGTGTATYATTTGGAACCATGTGTCACAAAACTTAGAATAGAGAAACTCTRTAAAAAATAGGCACAGTGACTGTGTACCTCAATTCCATGAGCAGATTTAAACCAGTCAGGTTTAAAATCTGTCTGATTTAAGACAGTTCAGACCCAGTTTCCTGTGTTGCAGCAAACTCAGACGCTGGTTAAAACAGTAAGTAAAATTCATTGAATCAGTGTGACACAGGTAGAAACTGAGGTACCAATATTGTCACAGTTACTGTGGTTATGTGCAAGTCTTATTGTCTTGTATTTGCTTCCAGACTACCCTGCTGGTCATCAGCTTTCCCAGAATAGAAAGCCATAAGTATCWCCCCATGGCTTTGAAATTTTGTCTGCAGCTTCTGTCTGTATGGTTTGAGGAGTCATAAAATACTGAGTGTTCAGAATGAATTATTTCAGATAGAACTTACCTTAAATAGTGAGTTATGTTCATCAACACTAGCCTGCCCCTCCAGTGAACCTTTTTGTGCTTGTTCCCATCCCTTTTGTTCTCTAAACTGTGCTGAAATACTTCCAGCTACTTCTTGTCTGGCTGTTCTCACCCATCCCTGTTCCTTAGCATATGCTGTTGGTTTTAATTCTGTGTTCAAATTTGTATAGTTCCAGTTGTGACAACTTGCACTGGAATCTTGTCCTTTTTACCCTCTGCCTTTTCTAAACCCTTCAGCTTCTGACCATTGTCTGATATGTAAAACACACATAATTACAGTGCTTCTTGGATGCTTGACAGGCCATCAAATACATGACAATTCAGTTCAAGAATTTTCTCTAATTCTGTGGCTTTGCTGTGCAGAGAGGTTTAATAAAATTAAAAGGAAGAACTCTTTGATTTTCAGTGCCACGTGGCCTTTCAGCTCCCTCACCCTCCACATGAGTTCAGTGCTGTTTGGGAAGGTTTCATCTGTGCAGGGAGGAGATACCAGCCTGTACACCCTGCWGCAACCCACCTGAAGCAGACATGATCTAAAGCTGTGGACATGGTTAACTAATTGTATATTTGAGAGCCACAAAGCCATATTTTCTGTGTGTGTTAAACCTTATTTATTGGTGTTGTTGTGTTATGTTCAGTCAGGGGTTGGTTCCCCTTAGCTGGTGGAGGAGTGCAGGGTGTTCAGATGAGCAGCAGYGTTGTTTAATGGGTCCTGTTAGCAGCTCTTGCTGTGTTTCAGAGATCTGTGCATTTTTCTSCTCTGTTTGTAGATATTCTTACATCAAATGTGGCTGACACTGAACATTATTCTTTGCTTTCAGTTGATTTGTCCTAGATGACTTTTATGACAATTGTGCTTTCTCTTGTTTGCTTTCCCCCAGC